CCAGTGGGGGGTGGGGGGGACCACAAGCAAATTTCAAGGGGGGGGGTCTGCTGAACAGGGCTAACATTAAACCAACTGGGACATAGGCTAAGTTCCCTGTAAGTTGCGCAGCTGAGTGACTGCACAGCTGTTTTCTGAGCTCTGCTCAGAGGATCAAAGCTCCTGTGCATACAGGGAGCTCAGCTGACAGGCAGGACAGAGCGTCATCTTGCTAAGCATGAGATAAACGGAGCTGCTGCATGCTTGAAACTGAGCCAGGGCTAACATTAAACCAACTGGGACATAGGCTAAGTTCCCTGTAAGTTGCGCAGCTGAGTGACTGCACAGCTGTTTTCTGAGCTCTGCTCAGAGGATCAAAGCTCCTGTGCATACAGGGAGCTCAGCTGACAGGCAGGACAGAGCGTCATCTTGCTAAGCATGAGATAAACGGAGCTGCTGCATGCTTGAAACTGAGCAGCTCCCAGAGAATAAGTGGCTGGGGGGAGGAGGAAGAGGGAAGGAGGGAACGACTGCCTGAGGAAGAGTCTGAGGGAAGGGGAGTTTGGAAAGTTCTTTCCACATCTGCGTGAGGAGAGCGTGCAGAAACTCAGCACTCTCAAGTCTCCTGGGAAGGGGAGATAAGGAGCTGACTGCATCGGATAAGTGGGGGACAGAGGAGGTGAGTGAATGCTGGCATTGGCGTGAGGTGGAGAGTGTATTTGTGCTATGGGGTGAGGGAGGTGCGGATAATTTGTTTGTGCTTTAGCTGGGAGTTAGGACTGGACAGACAGCTGGTGCGTACTAGTTTGAGCAGCAGGATTTTATCCCAGCCCCCAGCTTGGCTGGGGGGACCACACTGCACAGGGATAGTTGGGGGAAAGAAGGGATGAGTGGGTGCTGGCATCTGTGCAGTGAGGTGAAGGTGGTGAAGGGGGAGTTTGTTTGGGGTGTCTCCGACTTGCTACAGTCCTCTCTCTGGCTGTGTTGGGGAGGAAGAGGGAAAGAAGTATGTTGCATGGGGGGATGCCAGGAGGACATTTGCATGATTACATAGACTAACACGGCTACTGCTCTGAGTCTTTAAGCTGTTGACACACAAGATGAAAGTTTCAAACCAGGAGAACTTTCATCTTTTATATAGCATGGATCCTAAATATTCCCCAGAGAAACTGTATAAGACTTATTAAATGCCCTTTACTCTCCTTTCCAATGTCAGTAAATACTGTACTAGTCATGCTCTCCTTGCAAATACTATTGCTAGTTGACTCAAATTTGTTTAGCATCTTTAAGCTGAGTCTTGTGTGGATAATATGAGTTTTGGTGTGTTTAATAGCTTGAGTTGTTAGAAAGGATGATGATACATTTATTCCAAGGGTAGTGGGCCTTTGGAAGGAAAAGGCTGAGAACTCTGGAGTTAGATAATACCATAGTTCAATCAGACCAGAGAGGAGAGAAAATGATTAGGTAAATAGTTCAATACATCACAATACCAAATTGTTTCCTACATTTCTAGTACTTCAATCCAATTAGGGATAGACTTTGAAGGCTTCACACAGGTAGATAATGCAGCCAGGGATGTAAAATCATGATTAAAAATTTAACTGGTTAAAGGGTATATTCAAACTGATTAACTGGGATCCTGGGGTGGAGGGCTGCTCCAGCTGGAGTGGTCCTCCACCTGTGGCGTGGCAGCTGGTGGTACAACGCAGGTGGAGAGCTACTGCAGGTGGTGGGGAGGAGACATCTGCTCCAGACTAGGGATGTGAAGGATATAAGCAAATTCTTATCCGCGGGCCGGACTTTGGACATGCCTGGCTTACCGGGTAACTGGTTTACTGGGTAAGACTTTACATCCCTAAATGCAGCCAAATAAAATTAGTAGTTTTTCAACAGAATTTTGACCTAACAGATCTTACGTTTGCTCACTAGGGCTGTATCTAGACTGCCACAGAGCCTGGGGGCAGGCTCTTCATGGCATTTCAAAGTGGCAGCACCATGTGGAGCCACGGAACAGCTGGGGACTCCTTAATTTTCTTTCGATGGCGGTACTCCTCATTTCACAAGGAAGAACGCCTTTTTTCGAAAGTTCGCTTTCAAAAAAAGGCGTTCTTGAATGCAAACAGGGCTTTTTCGAAAGAGAGCATCCAGACTGCCTGGGTGCTCTCTTTCGAAAAAGCAGCTTGCTTTTTCGAAAGTACTGCTTGCAGTCTAGACGCTCTTTTTCGAAAGAGGCTTTTTCAAAAGTATCTTTCGAAAAAGCCTCTTTCGAAAGAGGCTTGCAGTCTAGATGTAGCCTAGCTGTCCTCTTCCCCCTCCAACCCAATGATCAGAGACATGAGACATTTTACTGAGATATGCACTTGAAAGGATGTTTTCATTAGTCCAGTGATTCCTCCATTAGACTAGTGCAGTGGAAGGTTTTAAATATTTTCTTTTTCCAGTACAGAATTGTTTGTGTATAATCAACAAAGTTAATAGATAACAAAAACTTACATTCCAAATAGAGATCCTCCAAGATGTGCTGCATGGTCAAAAAATTTCCAACCCAGAACAAGCCCTGCAGCATCCATTGCAATAATGGCTTTTATGGCCTAAAAACGAGCAAAGCATTGTGAGAGCAGAAGCTGCAGCAGTCTAACAACCAGCAGCCGGAATGCTTCATAATTTCCCATTAAGCAAATGTTAAAATTATAGAATTCCTCATGACATGCAATAATCCTTACTACATAAACATTTTTCTAGCCCTGCTGTTTTCTAACAAGACAATATACATGAAGTCTAGTTCTGCCAGATGTCCCCAAATAAGAGAGGCTAAAAATGTGGTAGAAAATATATACAGGCAGTCCCCGACTTACGTCGGATCTGCACTTACGAACGGGGCTTTTCTCGCCCCAGAGCTCACGGGCGGCGGATCGCCACCCGTGCCCTCCGGGGCGAGAAAAGCTTCTCCCGGTCTCCCTGGTCTGCTGGGGGGGGTCCAGCAAAGCCGCTGGACCCCCCCAG